GAACAACCAGATTAGTGATGACTGGATTAACAAAGGAACAACCAGGTGATGACTGGATTAACAAAGAGGGATAGCGGAACAACCAGATTAGTGATGACTGGATTAACAAAGAGGGATTGTGGAACAACCAGATTAGTGATGACTGGATTAACAAAGAGGGATAGCGGAACAACCAGATTAGTGATGACTGGATTAACAAAGAGGGATAGCGGAACAACCAGGTTAGTCATGACTGGATTAACAAAGATGGATTGTGGAACAACCAGATTAGTGATGCCTGGATTAACAAAGAGGGATTGTGGAACAACAAGGATAGTCATGACTGGATTAACAAAGAGGGATTGTGGAACAACCAGATTAGTGATGACTGGATTAACAAAGAGGGATTGTGGAACAACCAGATTAGTGATGACTGGATTAACAAAGAGGGACTGGGATTAGTGATGACTGGATTAACAAAGAGGGATTGTGGAACAACCAGATTAGTGATGACTGGATTAACAAAGAGGGATTGTGGAACAACCAGATTAGTGATGACTGGATTAACAAAGAGGGATAGTGGAACAACCACTGGATTAACAAAGATGGATTGTGGAACAACCAGATTAGTGATGGCTGGATTAACAAAGAGGGATTGTGGAACAACCAGATTAGTGATGACTGGATTAACGAAAAGGGATTGTGGAACAACCAGATTAGTGATAGTTGGATTAACAAAGAGGGGTGGAACAACCAGATTAATGGATTAACAAAAGGGATAGTGGAACAACCAGATGACTGATGGCTGGATTAACAAAGAGGGATTGTTAAATAACCTGATTAGTGATGTTTGGATTAACAAAGATGTATAGATGGACAACCAGATTAGTGATGACTGGATTAATGAAAAGGGATAGTGGAACAACCAGGTTAGTCATGACTGGATTAACAAAGAGGGATAGCGGAACAACCAGGTTAGTCATGACTGGATTAACAAAGAGGGATAGTGGAACAACCAGATTAGTGATGGTTGGATTAACAAGAGGGATTGTGGAACAACCAGATTAGTGATGACTGGATTAACAAAGAGGGATAGCGGAACAACCAGATTAGTGATGACTGGATTAACAAAGAGGGATAGCGGAACAACCAGATTAGTGATGGTTGGATTAACAAGAGGGATTGTGGAACAACCAGATTAGTGATGGTTGGATTAACAAAGAGGGATTGTGGAACAACCATATTAGTGATGGTTGGATTAACAAGAGGGATTGTGGAACAACCAGATTAGTCATGGTTGGATTAATGAAAAGGGATAGTGGAACAACCAGATGAGTGATGGCTGGTTTAACAAAGAGGGATTGTTGAATAACCTGATTAGTGATGTTTGGATTAACAAAGATGTATAGATGGACAACCAGATTAGTGATGACTGGATTAACAAAGAGGGATTGTGGAACAACCAGATTAGTGATGACTGGATTAACAAAGAGGGATTGTGGAACAACCAGATTAGTCATGGCTGGATTAACAAAGAGGGATTGTGGAACAACCAGATTAGTGATGACTGGATTAACAAAGAGGGATTGTGGAACAACCAGATTAGTCATGGCTGGATTAACAAAGAGGGATTGTGGAACAACCAGATTAGTCATGGCTCGATTAACAAAGAGGGATTGTGGAACAACCAGATTAGTCATGGCTGGATTAACAAGAGGGATTGTGGAACAACCAGATTAGTGATGGTTGGATTAACAAAGAGGGATTGTGGAACAACCATATTAGTGATGGTTGGATTAACAAGAGGGATTGTGGAACAACCAGATTAGTCATGGTTGGATTAATGAAAAGGGATAGTGGAACAACCAGATGACTGATGGCTGGTTTAACAAAGAGGGATTGTTGAATAACCTGATTAGTGATGTTTGGATTAACAAAGATGTATAGATGGACAACCAGATTAGTGATGACTGGATTAACAAAGAGGGATTGTGGAACAACCAGATTAGTGATGACTGGATTAACAAAGAGGGATAGTGGAACAACCAGATTATTCATGGCTGGAGTAACAAAGAGGGATTGTGGAACAAACAGATTAGTGATGCCTGGATTAACAAAGAGGGATTGTGGAACAACCAGATTAGTCATGGCTCGATTAACAAAGAGGGATTGTGGAACAACCAGATTAGTCATGGCTGGATTAACAAAGAGGGATAGTGGAACAACCAGATTAGTCATGGCTGGATTAACAAAGAGGGATAGTGGAACAACCAGATTAGTCATGGCTGGATTAACAAAGAGGGATTGTGGAACAACCAGATTAGTGATGACTGGATTAATGAAAAGGGATAGTGGAACAACCAGATTAGTCATGGCTGGATTAACAAAGATTGATAGTGGAACAACCAGATTAGTCATGGCTGGATTAACAAAGATGGATTGAGGGACAACCAGAATAAAAAGTATGGAGTGCACTTAATTTATCACTTGATCATGTTATTTTTCTTCTGATCATACAGATCCTGAGGTATATCAGAGGTATAGATACTCAAGAATACCTCATGATTAGCATGGACAAGCTAAACTAACATACAATCAAAAGTAAAGCAACACACTGTCAAACGGCAGGTTCACAAAGGCATTGTACAGGTTTCAATTTACACAAACAATATTGTAGGTTTGATAAGCAAAAGCATGCCAGTATTAAAAGCTAATATGTTTGAATTGCACAGGGAGATATCCATATTGTTATGTGTTTAATATTAGATTAATATATCAATATTTTCAGATATACCGTATTTATTTCAATAAACACCCTGTCTCTAATAAACGCCCCCCACCTGTTCTTTTAACCAAAATTTGATACTTTCCTCGTTTGCCCAGGATTTTTGTCCAGCCCCGCACATGTATACCACAATACCACTTGGTATGCCATCTTTCGGAAGGGGACGAATGCCTGGCATGTGCACAAGGGGGGCGATTTTAGTCCCATCGGCATATGCTGCCAGTGTCACCGTTATTTTTTGTTTTTCGTGGCCAGTACTGTAAACTCTGACCTCCTTTTCCCCCTTTATTGCCATTGTCGATTTTCCTGGCATGCCAAACCACACCGGGGTTTCGTCCATGTTAGCGATATGGCTATCAGGGTATTCTCATAGCTGACGCATTCTTAACACGAAATTCAAAAAACTGTCAATACGATCATCAATTAATGAAACTTCATGTTGTGCCACATGCGTAGATCGCCTGAACGAAATGTTATGTCTCTTTTTGAATTTAGAAAACCATCTATATGAGGCTTTGAACGATTGACTACCATTTGCCTTATGCATACGCAGGGCCTCAAACCGCAATGCTTTCCCAGTCACTCGTATTACGGCCTCCCGTCTGTCCTATGGCCATCTCATCAGATTTTTGTCAATATCTTCATATCTGACATGCCTTTCACCTCTTTTACAGCATTCAGATGTTTTAGAAAGATTTTTTAATTTTTCTTTGTTTTGACACCAGTCCCGCACTCGTTTTCTGTCAACACAAAACACTTTCGAGGCAGCATGTTTACCCTTCTCCTCTGCGAAGGCGATTACTTTAAGCTTGAAAGCAGTGTCGTAATTTCGTTTTGTCGCAGACATTGTTATCAGGTATGTGGAATTTATTAAGAAACAGACTGGCTTATATACTGCTGTGTTTTTTTTTATTTTGTTATGCAAACTAGGCCTACAAGCGATGATGAACATTGTGTGTTTTTGACTGAAGCTGACACGATTGACATCTTGTCATTTCATACAAGAATTCAGGTTATCAGAATGCAATTGACAACACTGTTTAAAGCTACAACGATGTTGGAATTACTGCAATTTTCAAATGCATTCTTTGCCGAGTAATTCGTTAGTTTGTTAAACAATGTTTTTAAGTGGCAGCCATGGCATGTCACGACCAACAAATTATGAAACTTTGTGTTCTATTAATCGCCCCCTGTCTGAAAAATTTCACGCCCCAGGGGCGTTTATTGGAATAAATACGGTATATATATATATATATATTTATTTGATCCATTGATGTTCTGTGTTTGTACATGTTTTACAACATACTCAGTGATTGTATTAGAGCTATAACAATGTGAAGATAACATTTGATAAGAAACATCCGATCAATCTGGACCAATGTTTTATAAAACATTCCTGAACATTCAGAGACATGGTCAAGGTTTCCACATACAAGAAAGACTTATTATTAACAAGCAAGGGGAATTTAACATAATCAAAGGTTCTTTTTAAGCAAAAATTGTGTTATTGAGTTAGGAAATGTTCATAAATCAAGGGCCCACAAAGATATATGTTCAACAAATCACAGACAACAAAATGAGAAAAATTGTGTACAGATTCCATTTTAGTATAAATCAAGCTTCAGTATTTTGCAAATTATCATTAACTTCAAAAATATAATTTCTATTTCTATCAAAAAACATAGAATTATTTTTTTCTGTAGCGCATGGCTCAATAAAAATCTATATGCAAAAAATTAGACAAAAAAAATCATTGAGCCTATTTGAGACTTTGACCATATCATAGAATACCTTGTAAATTATTTATCCGGTAGTATTACTGTTAGCCATGATCTGGAAAACTGATACCATAAAATAATTAATTTTAGAGAGCAATATATTTTCTTGGAAATTGTTAGCACTCTTGATCCACAAATTTATATGAAAAGATAAATCGATAAGAGCTGACAATGATTTTAGTACTTGTGGATTTCTTCAACAAAATTTACATGCCGCCATAACATCAAATGGAACTTGAAGTCAACAAAAATATGCCATTTTACAGCACACTAATCCGCATCTATTTCAGTGTCTGTAGGGAAGCCAACAAACGCACTGCTTATTTTTGAAGTAAGGGATAATGTGTTGGCCCCCATGCATCATTGTTAGATAAAAAGAGTATTTTCAAAAAATGTAAATCAAATAAACTTTATATACAATATGTTCAATGGTTACAAGGTCAGCTGAAATGACTTACCAACCAGTGGATGCCTCACAGTGCGAGTCAAGGAAAATGAGTACATCGCCTTTAGCTGCTACAGCTCCAGCAAGCCTAGCTCTGATTAGACCACTTCTCTCCATGGTGCGGACGATTCGAACTACACCATCTGGCCACGTTGTTTCCACATACTTGTTTAACTTTTCTCCAAGTTCCGCTGCAAACGTTAAGAATGCATGAAACCAAAATGTGTATGTAACATATACCAGATACTGAAGAAACAAAAAAATCTTAAATTGTAATACCAGTAACTGATATTTATTGGCGACAGTACATTCATCCACTACCTATACATAAAACAATTAGATCTGTCTTACCTATGAGGTTCATATAATTGATATTCAATGTTGTCAAACACTTTATAATTTTACATAAGGCCACACAAAAAAATCCCTATTTCCTGTGACACTACTTACCCTTATACTCTGTGCCTGCTGCTATTCAATGTTGTCAAACACTTTTATCTTACATAAGGCCATACAAAAAAAATCCCTATTTCCTGTGACACTACCTTCCCTCATATTTTTTGTGCCTGCTACAATAAATATTTTCAGATTGTTTTCAAAAAACCTACCTACCAACCTACCTACCTACCTATTCTTTGTTCAACATGTTACTGGAAACATTTTTGTTCTGATTTGGCCTAGCAGAGAAATAAAAAACTGTAGTATACAGCTAGCTAAATATTGAGAAAGCAAATTTTCTGGTCATATGTATATGCTTTGTTCTACAAAATATTAACATAATTATTGTACCCAAAAATTGCACTAAACAAAGATTTGTAGATAAAAAAACCATTTCCTCCCTCATTATATAATACCTACAACAATCAACATTTTTATAAAATCTGACTTGGAAGGACTGAAGAACTTACGTCGGTCACTGAAGTCGTCCAATAAGATGACCTCATGAAGGTATTCTGGGGGTGAACGGTTGACCACGCTGTGTGCTGTCCGAAGTAGAGGTGACCAAGCCTCATTATGGAAAATAATTACCACACTTGCCGTTGGTAGGCTTTTTGGATATTCTATAGATTTACATCTACAAAACAAAATACAAGGTATCAAACTTTGAGAAACAATTATAAAAAGTCTATACAAGTTTTACTACAATGATACAAATTATATACACATTTTAATATAATAAAAAAATACTGAAGACCAGACAACATCTGTAGGAAGAGTTAAAACTGTTTAATAGTTGACATGTTTCAGCATACTAGGTATGCCGTCCTCAGAACAGAGTTACTTTTCAAAATACTGCACTTATATACTTTCTCTACCTAGTAACTACACATGTTATTTACAGTTGACATCATAGATGATACACGGGTTACAATGACGTAGTCTTTTAGTGATGTCATAATGTACAAACCTTGGTTGCATTAAACTAGATACTGTAATGATACACAGGTTACAATGACGTGTATAAGTGACGTCATAATGTACAAACCTTGGTTGAATTACGTTAGATACTGTAATGATACACAGGTTACAAGAAGGTTGTGTATAAGTGACATCATAATGTACAAACCTTGGTTGAATTACGTTAGATACTGTAATGATACACAGGTTACAAGAAGGTTGTGTATAAGTGACATCATAATGTACAAACCTAGGTTGAATTAAACTAGATACTGTAATGATACACAGGTTACAAGAACGTTGTGTATAAGTGACATCATAATGTACAAACCTAGGTTGAATTAAACTAGATACTGTAATGATACACAGGTTACAAGAACGTTGTGTATAAGTGACATCATAATGTACAAACCTAGGTTGAATTAAACTAGATACTGTAATGATACACAGGTTACAAGAAGGTTGTGTATAAGTGACATCATAATGTACAAACCTTGGTTGAATTAAACTAGATACTGTAATGATACACAGGTTACAAGAACGTTGTGTATAAGTGACATCATAATGTACAAACCTAGGTTGAATTAAACTAGATACTGTAATGATACACAGGTTACAAGAAGGTTGTGTATAAGTGACATCATAATGTACAAACCTAGGTTGAATTAAACTAGATACTGTAATGATACACAGGTTACAAGAACTTTGTGTATAAGTGACGTCATAATGTACAAACCTTAGTTGAATTACGTTAGATACTGTAATGATATACAGGTTACAAAGACATTGTGTATAAGTGACCTCATAATGTACAAACCTTGGTTGAATTACGTTAGATACTGTAATGATACACAGGTTACAATGACCTTGTGTATAAGTGACGTCATAATGTACAAACCTTGGTTGAATTACGTTAGATACTGTAATGATACACAGGTTACAATGACATTGTGTATAAGTGACCTCATAATGTACAAACCTTGGTTGCATTGAACTAGATACTGTAATGATACACAGGTTAACAATATAAATAATGATAAAACAGAAATAACTACAAGTCCATATCAGTAACGTAACCCTACAGTATATATGTCTATGTAGAAGTACAAACGTGAAATATAGAACAGGTAAGTAAAATTCTATGTCAGCTATAAGAGAGCTTCCACAGGCAGTGGGCGGGTACAGAATATCTACAGGTATGTACACTAAGTTTAATATGTGAATTAGAACTATTTTCTAGATTAGTTTAATTGAAATAAAAAAAAAAATGAAATTACAGTCGAGTTGACTAGTGTCTGGTACATGGATAAAGGTGCATATAAATTAGAATAAATTAGAATTGTAATTGAAGTTAAACCATCTGTAATAAGTAGCCAAAAAAAAAATAAACGAAGTTCTTTCATTATCCTTGTCTGATATTAAGTCCTTCTGGTTCAGTGGTGTTTAGAAAGGAGATGAAGGCCTCTTCAGTGCGTAAGCATGTATTTAAGTGTTTGGAGGTGGTTCTGAGACAGATAATTTTCATATAACTGGTGTCATGTCCGGTGGATGTATAGTGTTGCAAAACTGGTTTGTGTTTATTGTTGTACAAGTATTGGTGAAATGGCCATGGAAGTGTTTGTGGATAGTGTTTCCAGTTTGTCCAATGTATTGTATTCCACATTATGTGTTGACCGTGGGAATCAAATTTAGTAATGAAAGGAACAACAGTTTTGGTGTCTGGATTGGCTTTCCTTAGTAATGATAATCTTGGTATTCCTTGCCTTTTCCTTAGTGGATTCTAAAACATTCCGTGGACAACCTCGTATTCCAAAGTTTTCACACATGGCTTTGCTGTGTTTTTCAAACTCGTTCAAAGTTGAGCATATGCAGCATACCCTAAGAAGTTGCTTTAATGGAATGTGTTGAATTTGTTGATGCGGGTGGGTTCAGTTGTAGTGTAGGTATAAGTACACATCCGTGGGCTTAGTGTATAGTGTGGTCTGTAGAGTGCCATCTTGCTCTTTGATCATCCTGGTGTCTAGGACATAAATCCGGATAGAGCTCACCTCGTAAGTAAAATGGATCTTAGGATGAAATCAGTTAAGACTATCCATGAACCCAGCAAGGTCCTCGCAGGGGAAGGTCAAATTAAAAAACACATCATCGATAAACTTCCACCAAATTAGAGGTTTGAGAGGCTGAGTCCCTATAAAATTTGTTTCGAGTTGGTCTGTAAATAATATGGTGTAATTAGGTGCACATTTGGTACCTATACTGGTACCCTGTTCTTGTAGGTAGTGTTTGTTATTGAACATAAAACAGTCCGTGGTAAAATGTAGAAATCTTAAGAGGATCCAAGTCAGTGGAGAATTGTCAACCCTGGTGTCCAGGGCTTGTTCTGCTGTGAGAATGTCATCTCTGTGTGGCACTGGTGTATAGAAAGAGGATACATCTGCACCGACTAGAAGACCATGTGTTTGGATTCGGGAAAGATTGTTAATTTTATTGAGGAAGTCTGTTGTATCTTTCAGGTATGATTTTACTCTGATCACAAGTGGTTCGAGATACTAATCGACTGTAGCTGACAACTTTTCTGTAGGTCTGCCTATAGCACATACTATTGGTCTACGCGGGTTTCCTGGTTTATGTATTTTAGGTAGGAGATAGAAAAGACAGGTCATGGCATCCCTGATAGTATTGAATGAGACAATGTCTTTCTCAAGTTTGGATTTAACTATCTGAAGAAAATGGCTATGCCCTGAGTTAGATCTGCATCTGACAGTCTGTAGTGTTCAGTGTTGCCGAGTTGGCATTTTGTGTCGGCTATATAATCACAGCAGTTAAGAATGACAATAGCTCCGCCTTTGTCAGCAGGCTTGATAATGAGATCTGTGTTCTGTTTGAGGGTGATGAGTGCTTGAGACTCTTTTGGTTTGAGATTGCATAACATGTTTTGTTTTGGGGGAGTGTTTGTAATAAAAAATGAAGTTATATTAAGGAAAGTGTCCAAATCTGCATTAAGGCCACGTTGTGGTGTCCAGTCTGACGTAGGTTTGAATGGGTTAGGAGCAAACATATTACTTATATCATTCCCATAATCCTTAAAGAAAACATGATGTCTCACTCTGGGTCGAAATAGGTTGATGTCCGTTAAACGATCATTAGGTTCTGTAATCGGTGATGTGGGACAAAAAGAAAGTCCCTTGGATGTAAGTGAAAGTTTATGACTAAATGTATGATTTTGGATAGGTTAACAACCACATTCGTGCGGGCTGTCCAGGCTTGACGTTTCCTGTATGTATGTTTGTTTATAAATCTAAGATTACGCTTACATGGAGGGATGTCCATGGTGGTCAATAAGTAGAAGACTCACAGTACCAAGCAGTTTCACTGGTGTTACCTATTTCTTTGGGCTGCGTTGTTTTTTTCATTTTGTACAGACAATTTGGTGGAAACTAGTAGATCATTTATGATTTCATCATCATAAACACCACTGAACCAGAAGGACTTAATATCAGACACAGACAATCAAACAATTTAGTTACTTATTTCATGGCTACTTATTACAGATGGTTTAACTTCAATTACAATTCTAATTTATTCTAATTTATATGCACCTTTATCCATGTACCAGACACTAGTCAACTCGACTGTAATTTCATTTTTTTTTTATTTCAATTAAACTAATCTAGAAAATAGTTCTAATTCACATATTAAACTTAGTGTACATACCTGTAGATATTCTGTACCCCGCCCACTGCCTGTGGAAGCTCTCTTATAGCTGACATAGAATTTTACTTACCTGTTCTATATTTCACGTTTGTACTTCTACATAGACATATATACTGTAGGGTTACGTTACTGATATGAACTTGTAGTTATTTCTGTTTTATCATTATTTATATTGTTAACCTGTGTATCATTACAGTATCTAACGTAATTCAACCAAGGTTTGTACATTATGAGGTCACTAAAAGACTACGTCATTGTAACCTGTGTATCATTACAGTATTTAGTTAAATTCAACCTAGGTTTGTACATTATGACATCACTTATACACAACGTTCTTGTAACCTGTGTATCATTACAGTATCTAACGTAATTCAACCAAGGTTTGTACATTATGAAGTCACTAAAAGACTACGTCATTGTAACCTGTGTATCATTACAGTATTTAGTTTAATTCAACCTAGGTTTGTGCATTATGACGTCACTTATACACAAAGTTCTTGTAACCTGCGTATCATTACAGTATCTAGTTTAATTCAACCTAGGTTTGTACATTATGACGTCACTTGTACACAACGTCATTGTAACCTGTGTATCATTACAGTATCTAGTTTAATTCAACCAAGGTTTGTACATTATGAGGTCACTAAAAGACTACGTCATTGTAACCTGTGTATCATTACAGTATCTAACGTAATTCAACCAAGGTTTGTACATTATGACGTCACTTATACACAACGTTCTTGTAACCTGTGTATCATTACAGTATCTAACGTATTTCAACCAAGGTTTGCACATTATGACGTCACTTATACACAACGTTCTTGTAACCTGTGTATCATTACAGTATCTAACGTAGTTCAACCAACGTTTGTACATTATGATGTCACTTATACACAACGTTCTTGTAACCTGTGTATCATTACAGTATCTAGTTTAATTCAACCTAGGTTTGTACATTATGAT